TTCCAGAAGCTCATCGATATCATTGTTATCCACCTCCAGCCCCACAATCTTGGCCAAAGACACAATTTCGTTGACTACAGGCTCCACAGGTACTATCTCCAACCCCTCAAGTCACATTCAACAACGTTCTCCGGCTAAAGCTTCTTCCAAGCAGAAGTGAGGGTTCTCTTGGTAACCCCTTCCCACGCCTTTTTGATCATCTTGAGGCAGGCAACAATGTGGAAGTGATATTTCCAAAACTCTCTGAGAGTGAGATTGGTCCCTTCAGTTACCTCATAACAACGCTCAAAGAGTGCATTAGTGTACAGTTTCTTAAAGTTAGAAATAACTTGCTGGTGCATATGCTGGAGTAACAGAGTGGTGTTGGGAGGCAGAAACTGGATCTTGATGAATTTAAAATTTTCAAGGTCATCTTGTAGGTCTGGAGGATGGGTAGGAGCATTGTCCATAACAAGCAAGACATGGAGTGTCAGATTCATCTCAAGCAAATATTTTTTCACAGAAGGACCAAACACTTCATTGATTCAATCAGTAAAAAGGTCACATGTCATCCAAGCCTTGTTGTTGGACCTCCACATCACATTTAGCCTGCTCTTCTGGACGTTACACTTCTTGAAGGCTCATGGAGTTTCTGAATGGTAAACAAGCAGTGGTTTAATTTTCAAATTGCCACTTGCATTGGCACAAAATAGCAGTGTGAGACGGTCTTTCATTGGCTTATGGCCGGGCAATGCATTATCCTCTGCTGTTATATAGGTTCGCTTCGCATCTTTTTCCAGAAGAGACCCGTCTCGTCACAATTAAAAACCTGTTGCGGCAGGTAACCCTCACAATCTACAAGCTTCTTGAAGTCACCGATGAAGTTCTCTGCTGCCTTTGTGTCAGAGCTTGCTGCTTCACCGTGCCTTACAACGCTGTGGATGCTGGTTCTTCTCTTAAACTTCTTGAACCACCCACGGCTTCCCTTAAATGCTTCTTCTTCGGCCGTTGATGATCCTGGCATCTTCTTAACGAGGTTGGCGAAAATCACTTTCGCCTTCTCACAAATGATATTCTCGTTAATACTGTTGCCTTGCAATTGCTTTTCGTTTATCCATATGAGAAGCAACCTCTCAACATCATCGAGAATACGTAGCCACTGCACAGATATTCTTGTCACTCCCTTTGAATCATCTGTCTCCTTAATCTTGTCCTTGTTCTTAAGGATAGTGCAAATCGTTGATGTAGACCAATTGTATGTGTGTGCTAGATCAGCCATGCTCACACCTCATTCTTGCTTTTCAATGATTTTACGTTTCATTTCTAGGGTTATTTTTATTCTCTTATGGCTGTCTTTTTGCAGCTTTTTCTTCAGGGACATTTTTGCAATGGTTATTAAACTTTGCACACAAAAAAAAAAAACAAATAATATGTCTGAACACAAGTTTGGAAAAATGTGTGAACACAAGTGACATTAAGATGCTAGCGGAAGAAGTGCTAAACAAAGACTGATGTATTACAGCATTCCGTATATAATGCCTCCTATTTTTTTAAAGAAAACTACAACAGATACAGAAAGCATAATAATGCAGTTAAATAGAGCAAGTTTTCAGCTACTTACAGTTATTTTTCCACATAATCACCACCATTCGTTATGCACTTCTGCCAGCAATGATCAAGACCCTGTATGCTGCGCCTGTAAAAGTCTACACCAGCAGAGGCTAGCCACTTTCTTACAGCTGCAATGACGGTATCATCTGGAAAATGTTGCCTATGTAGTCCATCTATCATAGGCCCATAGAGATGGAAGTCTGAAGGTGCTAAACCGGGGCTATAAGGTGGATGTGGTAGGACAGTCCAGCCAAACTTTGCAATGTGTGCGGTGGTCGCCAAACTTGTATGGGGTCTAGCGTTATCGTGTTGCAAGCAAAAGGTTGTCTGCTTCTTTGGCCTGACTCGGGAAATGCGGGCTTAGTCAGCGTCGTTTTGTAGCGTTCAGAATTGACAGTCCCTGGTCGTTATCTGCTGATCTGTATGGATGAGGCGCTGTTCATTGTGAGGAGTTGCAGCTGAACAGGGACGCCCAGGGTGTGGTTTGTCGTGCACTTCACTTTCGCCACTGTTGAAACGCACTACCCACTGCCTCACTGTGCTGACTTCCACTGTATTGTCTCCGTACACCTTTAGCAAGTGTCGATGGATGTCAGTGGGTACAATTTGTTCGGCAGTGAGAAATTCAATTAACACATCTGTGTTTCATACGCACTTCTATGTCAGACACCATTTTGGTAGACTGCTCTGCTGTCACTATCTGTCACATGACAACCAAACTAACAGCAGAGTGGCAGGAAGGTTCAACCTTTACTACAACACCAACAACATCCATCTCAGACGTTACATATTAACACAAAAAAACAGGAGGTATTATTTACGGAACGCCCCTAGTAGCAAGCGCACAATCTGGGACTTCCCCTCTCGTCACTCCTTATGTGAAACATCGCTCATTAAGCGAGCCATTTTTTTACAATTTGTTTTGCTCATTATGTGAATTACTCATTATGAGAGGTGCTCGTTAAACAAGGTTTCACTGTATTTCTCCGTTCTGTATGGAATATAGTCCCTAATACAAATTCATTGTAACTCTTTTTTAATAAGTTTGTACTTCATTGTACTTTTATACCATTTATTATCAAGTGTCCAGCTTTACCATCGCAATTGCAGTTCAGTGGTGTGTGAATATGGTAGTCATGTGTTTGCTTGATGATGGCTTTAATAGCTGAAACATGTAGCCAAGCTAATTTTAGCCTTGACCTTTATATTGTTATGTTGTGACTGACTGTAATAAATAAACTGTATTATATATATCTGTGCGTGTGCGCGTGCGCGCACATGTGTTTGTGTGTCTGTGTATAATAACATTCTGAGGATCCCTCATTTAATGTTCTTTGATTTACGGTTTTCCCCCATTCAGTGTTCATCCCAAACCCCAAAAACCAAGAATCTAAATGTTAAATTACTTCAATTTCATGTTTTTCTCAGTTTAGCATTCAAATCCACTGCTCCTAAAAGAAATCCTAAATTGAAGTTTCACTGTATATCAAAACAATGTTATATAAAACTTGTTTCATTATTAATGATGTTACAGCAAGAAATGCAATCAGAATGATATAAGTTGGAGACTAGATTTATATATATCCTACTAGAAAACAACCTGTAAGTGGGGGGGGGACTCATACCTAAACACTTCTGAATTGGCTGGAATTCACCAAGATTTTATCAAAGGGGCAAAGTGTTGCAGACATAGACAATGAAAACCCCATTTTAAGTTGTTTTGGCAAGCAAAATATCTGAATACACAAAGAGCCAAAAAGTGGGATCAATAAAACTGAACATTAAATGAGGGAAAACCTTAAACTGAAGAATAGTTAAGTGGGAGTCCCACTGCATCCAGTGAGATTCTTTTATACAGCAGATCTGAAAGTAACAGGCTGAACTTTATTAAATGTGCACATACTTACTATAAAGATGTTGCTTCTTTATTAAGCATGTGTGAGTCTTGAATCTCCAAGCAAGAATACGAGTATGGACAAAAATATCTCATTCTCAATTCATCCATTGATTTTCATTCTAGAACTTCAAAATCTTTCAGACAACTCTTTTACTTTGCACAGCAACACACAAACTACCAACTCCATCAGAAATATAAAAGTTGGCAACACCAGTATGAGCTGCCTTTCAACAAAATTTGTCTCCCTCCTTCTTTCTGTCAACACTGCATATCTCTTTATTTCTGCACATGTCACTGGTGTCTGATTCCAGAATGGACAAGTAGTACCCTTTATTGTATTGTGAGAAAGTGGACAATGTTATTACAGTGAGAAGAATTGTCAAGTAAAGAAAATTCTCATTCTCTGTGAATTTTCCAAACTCTCATCTCAAACTGAAAAGGCTGTTCTCACATATGTCCAATATTATTCATAAACATACATGTTTTTATGTAGCATCACCTTCAGATATACATTTTCATATTATACTAAAAATCATATATTAGGAATTATATTTATAGCCAATGACTGTTTAGTTCACTTGTGCATGCAGTAGCACTACTGCTGGTTAACATTAGTACATTGTACATTAGTAATTCTTTTGAAACCTATAAGCTTAATGCAAACATTATATAAGACATAATATGTACTTTATGGATACTTGTAGCTTCCATGAGGTGAATATTTAGTGAGATTTGTCCTAAAATGTACTTAGGTTCTGAAATAACCTAGGCTTGAACTGAATTAAAGTTAATGAAACTTACACATGACAATACTTGGATAATTTAAGTGAGTTTCACTGAAATCTATCAGTGTTCTGAAGAGATAGTTAGAAGTTCATTTAGGCTGCCCTAAAATTAAAAAAGCTTGACAATACTAAATATAAGTCTATGCTGCACAGAATTGGATCTGATTGTTTGAGCACTGATACTTTTGGATAGACAAACAGATGAACATAAATAATTAATATAATGAAACGTTTTGAAATTTTTTTAAAAATTCCTATGAAAAGGTTAATTTTAGCGATGGGGTTATATTTACCATTCTTTTTTATTAAAAACATTCTGTTAAATAGAGGTAAAAGAGAAAGATTTTCTTCTTTTTACAGACATTTGTATGAGATAGCTATTCGATTGTACATCTAAAACGCATTTAACATTTAAATTAAGTATTTGTTCTGTTTGGCAAATTTTGTAGTAAAAAACAACTTTAGATTAATTTATGTGATATTCTTTAATAAAAAAATTTAATTGCATCTGCTTATGTGTATAGAAGGACGGAGGGCAAAACAAATGGGTCACACAAATCTAACACATAATTATAAATATTTATAAACATACTTGAAAATGTTTTGTAGACTACATACCTCTATGTCTCTATCTATATACATGCACCCAGAAAGAAAATATGAAATCTCACAGCAAACATCTATACAATCTTTCATGAAAGGTTTATCATTATAAATCTCACAATTACCTGCAAAGAAGAGATGTTGAGAGCTGCTTGGAAACATGGCACTTGACGGGGAGCAAAGAATGAATCTACTCTCATACAGGCAGCCAAGGCACGTGGAGAAACCAAAACATTCCCAGACTCAAGAAGTTCATCCTCTTCCTCTGACTGCAGAAACAGTTGCACTCGCCATGTACAGGAAACAATCTGACAGCAGAATGGCTAATAAATGGGAACAGTCTGCATTGAGTATGGTATGCTTCATTCATTAAATTCTGTGACCCACAATTTCAGAGCTAGAAACCAAAGGAATATGACACAAGCAATGTCCCACACAGATGCAATACCACATTTATAGCTCAAGCACTCCTACAAGGATTGCAGTACACTCAACTCTCAATTATCCGGGATAATGGTGGGGATGGAAATCATGATTAATCGAAAACCCAGTTAAGACAAATTTTACTAAAAGTAGTACTGTAATACTGTACCTTCATAATACTATAGGCCTACCTGTATTTAAATTTATTCAACATCATTTTTATGTCATCTCATGGCCTATTTAATACTTTTTTTTACATTATACTGAAGTATGAATTAGTTATTTCAATCACAGTGTTCAACAACATCCAACACTTTTTACGAATATTCACACTTAACACTTAAAAAAATTTAATATTGTCGTTTGCTTTTCCACGGCATTTTCCTTTTTACAGATATCCATACGAAGCCTACGTAATATTAGCTTGTTCACTCTCAAGATTGTCTAGTAAGGATTCCAAATGATTAAGAGCAGCACCATGTGATATTTTCTTACTTAACACAACACCCTTCCTTTTACACCCTGACATTTTGCTAACGCACTTGAAGATCGATACAAAGAGACTAACTGGGACGGTGTATCTGTCCCTGAAAGTTTCCACAAATCCTTGCATTCTTTCACCCCTACCCTAGAACATTGTGTTAGCATAATGGGACCAAAAAATGCAGAGCTCGGTCCACACTAGTGTGAAAACAGTGTTACAACTCACCATGTGAAATAAAAGTGAATGAATATTAAACAATATATAAGCCTCAAAAAAGCGTCGGTTAAGCCGCAAACCAGTTTATCCGCCCCCAGATAATTGAGAGTTGAGTGTATTAAGAAGTGGAATCTGTAGGCAATTAAGTGGACACATTACAAAGGGCGGCATTGCTGGACCTAATTAAATTGCTTAGTTCCACTTGTGATAGTGGATAAACTGTTTAACCAGTCCATGCACCTCTTTCTACTGTTCTTGTGGTTACAAAAGCATTAGGGCATCACCAGGACACAGTGAATGGTATTGTTGCTATGACTTTACCGGGAACCCAGTCATATTGTTAAAAAAAGCTATCTGTATAAAATCCAGGAGTTGGTTTAGAACATCAGAGGATACAGAAGCAAAAGAGAGCACCTGTCATTACAGTTCCATTTTCTGTAGTTGTGGTCTATGAACTCTCACCATATTAGCACTGCTGTCTTTGGAATGAAAGGACAGCGCTTTACTGGATTCAATTTTCGCATTATTTCAACAGTTTTAGGTACCACAAAATACATGTAAATTCACTTAATGTCCTGGATTTTGTGAGTGGTCCACTTTTCCTTTCATGTGGACTACTCTGACAAAAATGGTAACCAACTTGCATGCAAGATTTTAATTTTCAATGTTTCTTTTGAAGTTAGTTGTTATTATTACTTAGTCTGTTAGCTAAAACTGCTACATGTATTTCTTTTATTTAAAATGTCATCTGATAAGCACGATGGTGACCGCCTCTGTGGTCTAGTGGTCGGCGTTCCTGATTCGATTCCCGGCGCTACCAGATTTTTTCGGAGAAGTAGTGGGTCTGGAACGGGGTCAACTCAGCCTCGTGATAATAACTGAGGAGCTATTTCAAGGAAATAGTGTCTCAGGTTTAGACAACCGAAATTAACGGTCGTGGGGATTTGTTGCACTGACGTGACACCCTCTATCTGCAAAAGTTGGCACTAAACTTCACTGAGAAGCGGCGGTTGCTCGGTCTGTATAATTCGCTTGCAGACTAAAATCAGAGTTTGTTTTTGTTGTAAGCATGATGGTAACACAAAAGAAAGAAAAGACATTTCCTTAGGAGAGAAACTCAAAATATTGTGCAAAAAATTATGGAATGACTGATGATTTTAAATAGCACTGTATCATACATATTTAGTTTCTGGAAAATACATCTATAAAAATTACTGCACACTGCTTAGTAATTTACCTACTTGATTTGCTAAGAATTTCAATTGAGGGTTAAGGCAAACGTAAGTGCTGTGCTTCCGAGTTTTCCAGTTCCTGCAAATTATAACTTCCCACAGTTTATACCACTGTTCATCAATCCTCAGAGAAGTGAAGAAACGAGGTTCCACTGTATCAGCACAAAATTTTACATAATAAAGAAGTTCTGCATGTCAAATTTATTAAAAAAAGTCATGTTCAAAATTTTGTTAGCCATGTAGCAAAATTTATTACATGGCCCACAGAAGTTCAACATAAGAGCACGGTTTCTGTTCATTAAATACGACTAACTACTGTACAAACCGCTATACATGCAGGTGGTCTGGGAACAGCAAACATTTCTTGACAATGAAATTTTCATTACAGTTTCACTGCTGCAAAAGCATTACACTGCATGATAGAAATACAGAGAAACATATATACATACACAATGTGTCCAGGTTCTGTTAGGACTGTGTTCATTAAAAATACAAGACGTGAATTATTTTCAAAATTTCACTCTTTTTATTCAAAACAGTCTCCTTCTGAATCAATACATAGCTGAAATTGATTGAAAAGTTTTTGAAAACAGTCACTAAACTCCTTTTGTGGAATAAAATTTAAAACTGCAGTACATTCCCTTTGGATGTCCTGGATGGTGTCGTGACGGTCTCCTTTCATCGCCAACTTAACTTTTGGGAACAACCAGAAATCTGCTGGAGCCAAATCTGACGAATACAGAGGATGATCAAGGACTGTGATCCCTTTTCTGGTCAAAAAGTTGTGCACGATTTTCGATTTGTAGGGTGGGGCACTGTGGTGGAGGAGCGACCAGGAACCTTGCTCTCGATATTCAGGTCAAATTCAAAGAATTCTCACCCACAAACGATTGAGGACTCCGAAATAATAATACGAATTCACTCTTTGACCTTCTGGCAGAAATTCCTTGTGAATGATTCCTTTGGAATCGAAGAAAACAGTTAGCAGTGTCTTTACTTGACTCTTTTGCATGCACACTTTCTTTGGTTTTGGCTTCTTTGGGCTCAACTACGCTGCATTCTGCTGCTGTGTGAGAGGCTCATATTGAAAACACCATGTCTCGTCACCAGTAACAATAAATTTTGTAAATTTTGTATTACTTTGGGCTGACCATAACATGTCTTTGTAGTGTTCCACTCTGACATGTTTTTCATCACCTGACAGCACGTGCGGTATAAACCACACACAGACCTTCCGTCTGCCCAAATCCTTGATCAAAATTTGATGCGCAGTACTTTTTGGTATTCCCAAAAGCTCCTCGATGAGTCTTGCAAAAACATATCTGTTTGATGCAAGGATTTCGGTCACTTTTTTTATATTTTTCTTCAGTGCAGCTTGTTCTTGGCTTTGATGCATGTGGTGTCTTCCATGTCCTCTTTGCCATCACGAAATACAGCATACCATCAAAAAATGTTTGAGCGACTCAAACAATCACTACTATACACACTTTTCATCATTTTGTATGCTTCTCCAGCAGTTTTGCCTAACTTCAAACAAAATTTGATGTTGGCTCTCTGTTCAACCGCCATTTTCCGACGAGCGTCAGAACAGTACTGTTACATTCAAGGTCAGAACACATGATGCAGTGATGCTTGCGCTATGAAATTATAGACAGCCATAGCTTAAACTTCAAGAATCTTAATGCCACAACTCACCAAAGAATGGCATTGCAGGGCAGAATTTAAAAAAACGAGTCCTAATGGATCCTGGACACACTGTGTATTGACTGTTTAGTAGGATGTACTGGATTTCTTATTGCAGAACTCTGTATCAATTACAAGAACATAATGTGATCTCACAGTAAGACATCACAGTCTCAGTCAGAGAGTTCTAGGTTTGATCCTAGACCAGATTTAGGTGATGATGTCTCTGTAAACAGATAGATGTGTTCACCTCTGCCAGATCACCACCGGGTATTTCTTTGGAGACCACATTAATGAGGTTTTCTCTGCTGGCTGTCTTGCCACCAGTCAGGAGCTGCAAGGGTGCTCCAACCAAATTATTTCATCTTGTCAAACTGGAGGGACATTTGCTAGCATTCTCTGTGAACATACCTGATGTGGGGGAGTTGGCAGCTCCAGGTGACACACTTCTGACTCTGACAATTCAAACTGTGCATATGGCAAGTAGTGAGTATGGCAATCACTCCAGTATTGCAGTGAGCACAGTACCTGGCCTTTGGACTCCTGATCTGGACTGTCTGTAGCTATCTGTAACACACACACACTGGAAACTGAGAGAAGAGAGTGGACCTTTAAGACTTGACACATATATAGGCTCAGTGTGATGAAAGATCTAAGTAGGCCAAATGTGAATTGTTAACATTCAAGATTTTCAAATCTACATATAAGATCAAAGCAATGACTCAAACTACTCAGGTATATTCTAGTCAAGTGTGTGAAGAACAATCAACTACAATTATCATAATTCCAGCTACATTTCAATAATGCAAGAAAGAACTAAATATGTAATGATATTCATCAGTAGTTTTCTTTCATGTTCATATTCCTTTACATTTACGTGATGTTTTGGACCTGTGCTATATTGATAAATTTAAAACTACAAGTACTTCTAATACCACAAAAACTGGGGCTTCAAATGTTGAATATCTGACTACAGAGGAGTCAAATATAAAATTGTACATGCATATACTAGTATTTTACAGGTTTGAATAAACAAGTATAGATGTCCAAAAATTTTAAATAGCATATACAGCTTCCACAGCTAGCATCCAAATGATGCAGTTTGTTTAATATTGTGACATGTCGACCCCTACCTCCCCAGCGGTATGTGGCGGTAACGTAACGCTCGCGTTACTACGGTAATAGGTGAGTTCCCGCCCCGCCACTCCCCTCCGCGGTGACGTCACCGAGTATCGCGGTCGCTAGGCAACGCGAGTCAACAGCTGTGATGTTACGGTACTAACAGCGGTTACTTCCGCTAGCGTTACATAGCAACACAGCGCCAGGCAACAAGGGTGCCTATTACGTGGCCGTATTGTCCGATCGAGGCTACATAGGGAGCAGCGAAGGCTATTCACAGTTAGTTGTACTGAGTCAGTCAGTGAGTCCTGGAGCTACCGCCGAGTTAGCCAGCAACTAGTCAGTTATATTGTGGCATTTGGAGTGTACTAAGTGTGATACTGCAGATAGCAGTAATCGTAAATCTGTAATTTGGGTGATTGTGAGAGCGGATGTGAAATAAAATTCGCTGTACAAAATACGGCGTGAAGTTATTTGTCGCGATATACGCAAGATACGTGACAATATTTATGAGACTTACAGAAGTGATTGGCCACGCCATAGCTCAAGTGGTTAGTCACTGGCTTCCCACCGCGGAGGTCCGGGTTCGATCCCGGGGTCTGGTCAAGTGGGATTAGTGGTGGACAAAGTGGCACTGGGGCGGGTTTTCTCGAAGTACTTCGGTTTCCCCTGCCAATTTTCATTCCATCAAATTCTCCATCATCATAATCACCCGGGGCAGGTATAATAGGCCAATCAGTGGCCGCCATACCGAGTGGACCCAGCTGGACTCCACCCCCCACTAAGTGAAAAAAAATTATAGAAGTGATATAAAAACTGGTCAAGAAATTTCCCAACTTTTAGAGAACCTGATTACTCATTTCTGTGCTCGTAGAAGCCAGCCAGGCTCTATCCGGGTGTGGGGAAACAGAAGTATCTGCTCTTGCCTGCTAAATTAATAAAATATAAGGAAAATGCTAAGTTGACATTAGACATAGGGTTCACAAGGATTATATCCTCCAACCTGTAAGTCTGACTGGGTGTGGGGGTTGGAATTAGACACAAGAAACTTAATACAAAGTCCATATATATATTCAGGAGGGTCCAAAAAAATGTACCATAACTGGTCAGGTGTATCTCGATATGCTTCAGACATCGATTTTCCCTGCCATTCGAGAGCTGTTTGGAGATGAGAGATTTTACCTACAACAAGATGGTTCTCCACCTCACTACCATTAAGATGTCAGGGCGTACTTGGATGACACTCTACCTGGACGATGGATAGGTCAAAGAGGTGCTATTGAGTACCCACAACGGTCTTCAGACCTAACACCTCTAGACTTCTACCTATGGGGAACCTTAAAGAATGAAGTTTATTGACAAAAGCCAGCTACACTGAATGCACTATGAGAAACCATTAAGCGTCGTGTGCAGCCGTCACACTGGACACACTGACAGCCGTAGTTCGCTCAGCAGTTCGGCGGCATCGACACTGTTTAGCCGCTGATGGTGGTCACTTCGAAAAGATACAATGACTCTCTCTCTCTCTCTCCACGCAATAACTGTAACTACATGTCACTCTGTTCCAAAGATATTGACTATCAAAGAGTGAGTACATTTTTTGGACCCCTCTGTATATACACATATAAAGCTGTCTCTGGAACAGGCAGTGAAGGCCCATAGGGGTGTGAGAGATTGAGGCTCACACATCTTCTAGACAATTGATCCCGCGATCTTCTGGCTTGTAGCACAGTGCCTTACCCAACTACTCTACCATGTGCATATATAAAAATGTTTGAATTCATATCCCTCTATTTTCCATGTTTTATTTCAATTGATACTTTTCTACTCATACTTCTTGTTCACGTAAGTAAAAATCTTTCAAAGTTAAACCATAATATACGAGTATCTTTGTTTATGCATGGTCTTTAAACCATAATATACGAGTATCTTTGCTTATGCATGGTCTCGTGTTACTTCTTCCATATAAGTGCTGTTGGTGATGGTAACACATATCACACTGCAAGACAAAATAGTGGCTGAAAGATCTATACATTTGTACCTTGAATGGCACAGGGAAGATATCAACATGTGTGAGAGCCCTGGGTTGAGGATATCTCCATGCCATAGTGGGTGGAGCCTGCCAGAAGACCACTTGATATGGGAGTGGCAGATCCTCTTGTGATGACCCACTGCCTGCATCTACAAACTGGAATGCTCCAGCTCGAAGATCATCTCGGTAATGCTGATCTTGATCTGGAGGATGGGGTACAGCCTCCACCAACTCTGGCACACTCTTTGATTGAAATGCATTGAGGAAAGGCTCATACTCTGACGAAATCAAGTGTAAACAATGAAGATGTTCTGGTCCAACATCCAACAAAATGCATTCCGAATCAACTGTCAGTTGAACCTATTACAAGAAATCAAAGAAAACAGTCCAATATTAGGCATATATTCATATTTTCATTATGTTGGAAGGCTTAAGATGACAGTCATATGGTTAGGTAAGGTATCTGTCAACAGAAGAAGAAATGGTTTTACAATGAAAGCAATATCTCAAAGATTGAATTTTATTGTTTACTGCTACACATTTCAGTCCTCATGGGACCTGTCAATGAGTTAACTCTAAGAAAATGAAAGAGTAAAAGTTCTCCATGTGCTTAACTAATTAAGCACTATGCTATGAAGAAGTATGGGGAAGTGAACGTATAGATCCACATTTTCTTGAACTCGGCAATAGCTGGAGTTGAGTGGCCAGCTTCATGCCCCAAAGTGTAACAGTTAAGAAGGTCTCAAATGATTAAAAAGGAAGGGCAGAAGATTTAAGAAAGTATTACTATATATCCATTACCTGCGTACTTATAGAATAATAGTGGTCTAATGCAGAAATGCCTCTAAATAAGTTAACTACAAGGCATTGTAATAGTTAAGAAGTTATATTCATGAGCCTGACTCATGGGCACAATGAATGGTCAAACAGCTCCCCACAGTTTTACCCTTTTGTTTATTTAAATAGTATTCAAAGGCAATGATGCATGTTATTTAAAATTAACCTCAAGATTTAGACTGGCAATGAAACAGGCATAGTAATTTCTTTCTTATACATGGTATAATTCTGAAAAAGAAAATTAAAATAAAGGTTATTCAGGATTTGAGAACTGGACATGTGACGACATGAATTATGAAAATGGGTCATCATGGAAAATAACAATGTCTACTTGATTTATTTACAAAAATGACACAGAACAGTGTCTCATTTGTCGCATTCAAATGACTGCAATGTAACAATGTAGATCATGGCAAATGACTGAGAAAGGCTCTTGTAAAACAGTACCGAATTTGATGCCTTCCTGGTCTATTTTCATGCTTGGATTTTACTCTATCAGCACCCCTCTTCAGCCTTCAATGACAAAACTGTTCAATGCTGTATTCATATGAACAAAATATATAAAATAACAGACTTACATATGCCCTCTTCATTACATTAAAAAAAAAAGTGAATGCATGAATCATGAAAAATATGAGTTACATACATACAATGATGAACTGAACTCCACAGCCTAAAAGTTACAGTTCAGTCTGGTATGCATATAAACTTGATAATTATTCTGTTTCTGAAGAAATTAATTTGAAAGAGGATAAGAATTTTGTTGGCTTATGAAAACAATAATGATGTTCATTCGTCAATACATATGTCTATCCAAAACCCAAACTTCTACGACAACTACAACGAACCAAGAAACTACAGAAAAAAGTCCTGCAGCATGACTCCAAGGGATCATGTGGTGCCAACCACTTTCATGGTTATAATACACTTTTCAAACATGATTCTATTTGCAGCTAACCTGCAAGGGTGAGTCATTTGGTAGCCATGGTTCCCAAGACATGCAAACATCCACAGTGTAACTCCAGGGATTGAGGAGAGATCGTGATAGACCCTCCAAGGCTGTGGTAAGCATAAGGCAGTTGACAGCAACATTGCCCACCACACGGTCCACCTGACCACGAACAATTCGAGACAAAGTACCAGTCACTCCAGCAACACTCACAGCCATCACAGCCTCATGTCTCATTCCAGACAATTGAAACACCAGCTGCTGGCTGGAGATACTTACAGATTCTACTCCACCTGGAATCAAATAATACCACAAACTTACATAAAACTATTCCTGCTTTCTTACATCTCATACAGAAAACCTTGTTCGTAATAAGTTTAATCTTATCATAATTATAACATTTTCAGCATATACTTTACACATGAAATTCTGGTAACTCAGTTTCTAAACTGACTTTTGGATGGATGTCAAGAGTACGATTCCTGAGACATATAAAGATTCTCCCCTTCACCATCATCTCTAGGCTAACCCTGCTGTACATTCAGTCTCCCATCCAACAACAGTACTGAGGACTTCTTCCTTGAGGGTTTAACATATGGAATATGAAGCCAACAATTTGACTCCATCTTTTACCAATATCAAAAGTACTGTCACGATGTTTGGGGTCACTATAGATGGGGTTTGGATTGGTGAATGAATTTATTGACCACTATACATATGACTGAGAATCACAAGCAATTAGAGTGTTAGTAGATTCTAAAGGGTTCTGACGATGGTGTATAACATACAGAATTACTGGGTTTTTGGATATTTTCCACCATCTGGTATTCTAGAAAATAGGAAACATGATATTTCAGAAACTGGATCTCATTAGTTCTTCCTAAGGGGCCCAAGTGAGTAGGTATCTTCCCCCCCCCCCTTTACCTGAGGATAGAAACAGTTCCAGTTTCCTTGTTTCTAGAATACCAGAGGATGGAAAAAGTTAAAAAACCCCAGTAATTCTGTGAATTACAGTGCTATTGCTGATCTACACTTCACAAATCACTACAGCACGTGCCAAGCCTCAGTCTCTTTAGTCTTCCCTAGTCATTGTTTGGTAACAGCTCTCAACAATGCAGATTCTTCAGCTTCTGCGCTCACGCTGTTGCCCGCTGGCTAAAAGTGTTCACAACTGAACTCAATGCTCCAACTGTCCTGGTTAAATTATCTTGGCACAGCCCACATAGAAAACATCCCATTTCCAATAGTGATTATACTGTTGCATGCATATTTGTTGCCACAGGAATGTATTAACTGAGCCGTTTCCCAGAAATGTTCGTTGCTTACAGAGTCAAATCCTAGCAATGGCTCTACATACCACTGTACTTATAACTTATCTCTTATGTTCCTTACACACATTCATGGCATACATTTCCACATACTGAAATTCTGAGGAATCAAATTTCGTGAATTTGTTATATGGGAATTCTTTAATGAATATTAACTAATCACAGCTTAGCATAACGTAAAGTGTTCCAACTGTGATATTATGATATCAAGACACAGGCGGCTTTGACAGACATAATCCAATGTACTGCTTTTACAATTTGGAAGTTTCTACCAAAGAGAGACAGCACACACCAATTTCAGATCTAATACCTAAAGAGAGTAGTACAGGTACATTAAAGAAGATATTGTAATTAAGAGCAGATTAAGTTCATTCAGTTCAGAATCTTTTGCATTCCTGTCTCCTTTTGAAACCACAATTTTACCATTCCTTTGTCTGGGTGTGACACTTGTTCTCTTGCCCTGAAGGATGAACACAGATTGAGGATATTTAAGAACAGGGTGCTCAGAACAGTATTCCAACCTACAAGAGAGGAAGTAACAGGGGCTGGAGAAAACTGCATAATGAGGAACTTCATAATTTGAACTCTTCACCACATATTATTTAGGTAATCAACTCAAGTGGGATGGGATGGGCATTGCATTGAAAAGATGAGACTTGCATAAACAACTTTAGTCAGAAAACCTGAAACCAGTTTGAAGACAAAAGCATAGACAAGAGACCATTAAAATGCATTTAAAAAAATGGTGTGAGGATGTGGACTGGATTCACGTGCCTCAGGAAAAAGACTAGAGGTTGACTCTTGTGAATATGGTAATGAATATCTGGGTTCCATAAAATGTTGGTAAATGCATGAGTGGTTCAGTCACCAGCAGCTTCTCAAGGACTCAGCTCCAATGCTACTTTATTAACACTTCGAGGACCGGCAATTTAAATATTTAAATCACCGTGGGGACCGGCAATTTTAAACCTAGTACCCTAACTTGTGCACTGTTCACTTTAAAAATTAATATATAATTCCCTAATTAATTTTATGAACCAAAATTTTTGGAGAACACTTACCAGTGTTCCTAGAAGTGCTTGAGAGTGTGATATTTCTGGAAACATTCCCCTTTATGAAGTCATACTCCTTTTGTTGTGTACTGTGCAAACACAGCATCGCCTAGAAGGCTGTTTCCCCTTGGCATGTTCACTCTTCACAATTTTCATGAGGGTATGTTTCCGCATATCACCTGAGAGTCACCCAGGGGGGGTCCACATGAGGCCTGTGTGGGGTGGGAGTTGATGGACCCGGTGACACTAAATCTGTGTCTGCCGCCACCGTCTGGTCTGTAGCCCAGGCTTTTGCCACATTCAGCAGAAATGACTTGTATTTCAATTTTGAATGATGGTTTAGATTTTGAAGACCAAAAATGAATTGAAAATGGCACAATTTATAAGCCACAAGGCAACTTTCTTTGTCCACTTTACTGTTTTCCGAGGAAGAGAATAACAGGCCAAGTACTGATCGGCTCTATCAACTCCCTTCATGAACATATTATACTCAGAAATACAAACAGTCTTCTTTACCTGTCCATGTCTCCTTTGAACATCAACCATGCCCGAATTGTGAATTGTGGATTTGGGTCCGATGGAATTTGCTTCACCCCTCGATTTCTAGTAAACTGTCCCAAAGCAGACGTTTTGTCCACTTTTCCCCATGTGGCTGTCCCCGCAATGTTGCTACCTGCATTTTCATTGGAGCTACTGTCACTTTCACTTTCACTGTCCGTGGCCACAATTTTTTGTTCGTCCCTGCCACACTCACCATCAAATTGTGAGTCGCTATCACTAGCAGACTCACAAGGGACTTCAGATAGCTCATCGGAGAACAAGTCAGATATTTCCTGTTCTCTGAGAAAATGTTTGGACCTCAACCTCTTCCGACCTTGATCCATTTTGCACTACTAACTTCCTGCCTGGTGCATGCAGCTGGAAGATGAACAAAGGCATTTTCTTTTGGAGTGGGAAAGGAAAACAGTTGGGTCACAAACAGCGGGGTCATGTTACTGACTACAAAGCAAACATTCAAGAGGTCTATCAGGCACAAGTCATGCGTCTGCCTGGCAACAGTGCAAGGTATAGTGTGTTTCAACATAACATGTCCTAAAATCATAATAATATGCCACCGGTCTGCCACGTTTAAGAGTGCTGGGCATAAAAATATGCCACCGGTCCGCAGAGTGTTAACATTTCTGATAATAATAACAAATATATGAGGTTGTGGACTGGTCGACTGGCATATTCCTGTGAATGCTTCATTAAACCTACGAGTTCTGTAGGAGGTGGGGGGCTTTCTTGACCAAGTAACCATGACTAACTTCCTCAAGAAAGACTCTACATCATGAGGTTAGTACTTATAATATCTGACTGGATCAACATTCTACTCAAATCCCTAATCTCATTTTCTCTTCTCTGGGTATGTCAGGTTACAGGTATCTGTATGTAATGAAAAACATTAACTTATCAACAACAAAATGTGATGTAAAATTATTCAAACTGATGAATGTTACAAACCTATTTTGTCTCTAAAGGGATGTTTCTTTTCATCCTTGATGGTTACAGGGTGACATGAATGATTCTCATAATTCGATACAGAACTGTAGTTTCCCTCAGGGTTAGGTACTCTTTCACTCTCATGTGTGTCCTTGGATGGCAATTCAACATCTGTTCCATTTTCAGAACAACATGTATAATGCTGGGAAAAGCTATTTGAGTCCACTCCGTTTTCCATGTTAACATGTAACTGTGTCCTAGAAGATCTTTCTTGTATATGTGGAGATGCTATAAATTCCTAGAAATGGAAGAGAAAAAAAAGTCAAACATATTAACATAATTCTGAGAGATTAAAAACAGAAGGTAAATAATCTTGTTTTATCCAATCTGAACTGAAAATACTTCACAAAGACATGAATCATACTAAATGGCTCACACATGTCTATATATCAAGTTCATCCCAGGCCTGGTATCTCTTACTAATTTCATGATTCTGCTTTTTTGCCCAATCAATTATCAATCAGTCATTCAACTGATCTATCACTAAATATACTTACAGAAAAGCAGTGTTGCAATTTCTTCTGAACAGCATCAATGAAGTGCCACTGTGCAATGCTATAATATATCTTTGTAGGGCGACCCAGTTCCACATCTATTTTGGATCCCTTACTGGCAGATTCCAACCACTTCACTGTGAGAAAGGCTGGGGGAATTCCTGTGTCAGGATGAGGATCCCCACCCTTTGTCTCCAACAAGACAGACAAGAAGTCTTCAGCACGAGGTACTCCTCGAGAGATTACATACTCTTGCTCCGATGACCGAATGCTCATGTCAAAGCAAGATATCTGAAAGTCCAATTTATTTAGTTAGAAAATTTAACTTTTGTTTGTAAGTACTTTTATAAGGGTTATCATAATACAACTTAAGTAGTTGCAATTCAATGATAAACAGGAATACCTTAACTAACCCTATGGAGCAGAACCTTCTTGATAAGCTACAGTCACTCAGCTGGTCAGGAAATTCCTCACCTACCTTACAAGGAATTCAAATGTCTGTTTGCTGCTGTGGTCATAGGAGCTTGCCACAATATCTGGCCCTGCCCTCACTTCCACCTTACAAGACAATCTCATGTCTACTATTTTCCCTTAGAGAAAGAAAGTAAAAGGTAAAAAGGTACAGATATCCATGTAACAGGCTGCAGAGGCCCACAGGGCTGTGAGATGTTCAGGCTCCCACATTTTTAGACAATCAGCTCACACATGGTGGTAAGATTGCCAACCTTATGCACCGGCAGCCCTTTACTGCCAGGAAAAATTCATGATGCTCATTTCTGTTAGAGGCTGAGTCAACACCAGGACCACAGTGCGGCTAGAAGGATTAGGTCACTTGAAAAATCCAATAACCTCATTGGGAATTGAACCCATGACCTTCTGGCTCATAGCATAGTGCCTCAACCCAACTACACTACCACATACTCCCAGAAAGAAAGCAGGATTAAAATGTTATAAAAAATGTGAAATGATAATTGAACAAAATGAAATTTATATTGTGGTGTCTGAGGCATGACAGTCTTGAGTGGTCTGTGTAAATTACAGAACAGAACCTTACATTGGATCATTACTGCTTTAAGAAGGTAATTTTGGTAGCATAAATATAATGTAAAACTACAATCATTCAGCATACCTGCACCTTACTCATGGAAGATAATCTTGATAAGAAGGCATGAGGCTGTGCCATTAATATATATAGCAACGGCTGAATACATTTTCGAGGAGGCAGCGCCTCTTCAACAGAACCCTCCTCAGACCCAGCCTCATAGCCCACATCCTCATTTTGGTCATACTGCAATGCAAAATTGTCAAAATTAGAACATTCCTGTGATTATACACAAATTGTATCCTTACTTTGTGTCATAAAACTTCAGCATATGCAGAAATCTCCTTTTCAATTTGGGAACATGATTTGCTCTATCGGACCACTTTTGATGTACTTCAATCACAATTTATAATACTAGCAACACTTTCACAGTGCACTAAAGAGTACTTTCGCATTAAATTCTATTTCAATTAATCAAGATGGAGATACAATTTGCTGACTATTTCTATTTAATGGCTGCACCTGAAAAGGATCCATTCCCCTTTAATACCTGATGACAGTAGTATAGATTCAGCTTCTGAAATGCCATAATTTTAAACTTAACTATGACAACGGACAATATCCAATATAATAATTCTATAATTAAGTTAGTCATTATATTTGAGCTGATTCCAGGTAGTCTATCATACCTTTTCCATATTCTTAGATCTCTTTGTCAGGAATGTGGCACTAGTTGTTGAAAAAAGTTGAAAATAAAAATTCAGAATATTTCATTGCATCTTGAATATAACTCCAATGAACAACTGAAACGAATTTCCATGCTGAATTATGGGCACAAGAACTTCATTCAATTAATATTCTGCTTTGTAACAAATGTATTTTCTGGACCCTAGGCTATACGTACAATTTAATTCTTCTGAAATTAATTATCATAACATTAATTTGAAGCATACTACATCATCTAAAAAATACCTGTATGTCATGTGGGAAACGCTCTTCTTTTTGCAACATGTAATGGTTATGGCAAAGTTTGTGCAGTAAATTCTACACCATTTATTTTCATCTGAGATCACATATTGCGTTGCTACTGACTGGAAAATACATGTATTCATGAAGATTTTCTTCTGTGACTTAGAACTGAATTCCTAATTAATTAACTCAACAATTTTTGTTAATTACTTCACCCTCATAAACAAATTTCAAGAATTCTTAAAGACGTACAGTACCTTGCTGTAAGTGTGACGAGAGATAATCTTCTGTTTGAGTCTGCTTGATAAAAAGTGCAGTTCACTATTATCTCCTTCCAGCAGTTCATACAGAGCAAATGAAATTTTGCCAGCTGTAAGAAGAATCTCAACAGGCACAACATCTTGAGGTTGTCGATGCTCATTTGCAGCCCACACAGAATTTGATTTCCATGACACTGCTCGTTTGCTCATTACCTCCTAAAAAAATACGCAGAGAATAGGCAGATAATCTGTTGTCATTAAAATTACTATATATTTGCTCACATATCACACATCATTTGACTTGTGTTGCTTGAGACCAACTGCCTACTTTCATACAATAAACTCTGATTAAAACGAAAGTGTTTCAAATTTTCTAACAAAAAGGTTTATGTTTATGGTAATACTCTTTGTTACTCACCAACAACAAACAAAAATAATGTCACAAATTAAATAAGAAGTGCATGAGAACTGGTACTGTCAAGAACTGAAAATAATACACTTTTACAGAACTGTGGAAGAACCAGAACATTACAGACTGAACTCTGACAATAAGATACAAAATAAAATGTCAGTCTGCAAATGAACATCTTTCTCATTATTATCAGATTCTGATATTTTCATTTCATATCTGTGGCTATGGTAAGCACATTTCAGGAGAAAAAAAAAGTTATGAATTGGTAAAGCAACTTCAAGTTAGTACACCTGAAGGTCTACTAACATCCAATATAGATTCCATTATACACCACTGCTAATGACTGCTAGAACAAATTGCAGCTTTTGTATAACAACACAGCTGATCAATATTTGGGCTATGTTCAAGAGGGCCACCTATTTAATCCTAACACATTTCTCTAACTTTATTCATACTACTTTCGTGTTTGCATGATTCTCTGTCACCTCTACACAGATGTACATTTACAAACATGCAGATATGAATGTATAGGTACAAATAAAACTATCATTATGCCAAAGCTTTAAGTGAATACTTTTCATTTTCATATTCATATTCATATTCTTATATGGTGACGAGGCCAACAGAGGAGAGAGAGAATAGAAAGGTTTGATTATGTTTCAATTAAGATATTATAAATTTAATGAAAATGGACTTCAAATTCTTAAACTGAACCAAATTAAAGCCAAGATTTCAAACACATAAACTACTCATGATTCATAGGTAGAAAGAAAGACAGAGACTTACACTGCTGACAAACACACACATTAAACAAGTTTTCATTCACCTATGGAATTAAAAGTTTCTGATATGCCACGTTTCACCACATTTCTAATCATTCTTCACACTACCAAGAAGAAAATATGAAGTACATGTGTATTCTACTCACTGTGGCTTGACTCTCAGGTGGCCTTTGTTTGGAATGTATGGATGGACGTGACACATCAAACTCTGAAACTTTTCCAGAATTTTTAAAATCACTGCTTTCTTTTCCTGCAAACCCTGCATCCCTGCCTACAACACTGGCACTTGACACATCTGCACAGTCTACTCCACTATCCACAAACCTGACAGCAACAGAATAAGAAATATTCCATTTGTGGAATTTCAGTGATTACAGCAATGGAAAGTATAAGGTAACCATATTAAAACAACAATTTAAAAATGAAAGGAAAATTATTACTAAATTCAAAATACTAAACACTACGATACCACTACAATAAACAATAATAATGATGAAAAAGCGTACAAGTTTGTAAACTAGAATGTCAAACAAGAACATAAAGAGAAGAAGAGACCACTTGGAAGACTTAGGTATAGGTCACAGTATAATATTAAAATGCATCTCACTAATATGAAGGAGAGGTAGGGACTAAATATGTTTGGCTTAGGACACGGACAAGTGGTAGGATCTTGTGTACATAGTAATAATGTTTGAGGTTCCACAAAAGACACTGCTACCTTCTCAAGGAGAACCCCTATTTCATGCAGTCAGTAAGTTATAAGAACACAATCTATGAAACTGTATTAACTTAAATGACAAGATATCAGTCATAAGATTATCTTAAAAATGGCTCATGAATGCTTTCTTTCCAGTTGATAAATCATTCTACCAGTTTAGGCTGCATAACGTAGACAGTTGAAGAAGTGTCTTTAAAGAAACCAAGAATGCTAACAATTCAACTGTGACACTTGTTACATAAGCATGACTCTTTAAGTATAACAATATATATAACATGGCACTTTGTGAATAGAGAATTTGATATACTTTTATAGGAAAAATATAGTTTGTTTTCAGTGAATACTGGAAATGTATCACAGATATCTATTCTGACAAAAGGTTTTATGTACTTAAAAATACAACTAAACTGTTGCCTCCATAATAAGGAAATACAAACCGGTTGTAGCTGGTTCTGACGTTGTCCATCTCAAACGAACCCTCTGAAACTGGTTTCATTAACGTTGTAGGCTGTATTTCACAAGAAACTTTCTTGCCTGAGGAGTCAACCAGAAGTGGCTTCAACAGGAACAGAATCTCTTCTAACAGAGCTGATGCTAGCAGAAGCTGTCCTGTACTGATCAACACCTGCCAATTCACAATAACTTTTCGAGTCAATACTGAATCTGCAAGAAGTCATACAAACTGTACACTACTTTCAGATAAACTGGAAGAATAATATACAGTATACATTATATCATCAAGTACACATACAAATCATACCTCAATATTAGTAACTGCATTGACTTCTAGTGAATGTCCACAAACAAGGATGTCTCCACGATACACAATAGCCGGTGCTGCCACTATGCACAAATTCAATCGTGCTATTACAGGTATGAGAGACATGTGTGGTGTGAAACCTTCTTTGCCAGACACCAGGTTATTCCACTCCAGAGCAGGATTCTCACTCATGGTGCGAAGACTTCTAGACTGGGAACTTGTCAATCTGAAAATATCAGCAAAGAACAGAAACATTAAGTGTCTGTGATCCCATGTTCACATCATGTATGATTAGGCATGCTGAGTACTATTCACGAATAGATGAAAAAATTCCAAATAAAATCAAACTGTATATCACCAAGTGATTTTCTGTACAAATCACACATTTGATCAATACTATAATGCTGGTTTTTATTTCTCATGAAATACACAGCAATTCAAAAGTCATGTAACCCAGGATGCATTAGTACTTTATTAACGTAATATGGGTTATAAAAAACCACAGAATTATGTGACAGGAAAACTGATACATGTATCCTGAGTTTCCTTAGAGTTGTGCATATGACTAGGATGAAAATAATGTTTATTGTGAACAAATGTTGTGCCTAAGAAAATGAAATGCTGCACTCATTGTGAAGGGGGGGGGTCATCATGAAATGTTATGCACTGAAAAATAGGTTTGCACAGATTCTTTGGTGCAAAACTAAGTGACATAAAATGGAAGAAATATCTACAGAATTTGGGATGAAACCATCAGGGGAAAATTCCAAATGTATGTATGACCGAGACACAGATGGGAAAATAATACTGAAACTTTTTTCCTCATAATGGGCCACAAACAAATGGGCTGACCTTAATGAACATTTGTTTTAAATGGAACCTACAAGCAGATGAAGTGGGTCTTTGAGGCAAAGGTTGAAAAGAAGTTAACTGGATTCAAAACCATACAATATTTGAGGTTCTCACAGTCAAACTATGTCAATTACTGTCTTCTGGGATGTCAAGTTATGTAGATTGGTAGACTGTTATGAATATTAGAGAAACCAATTGCCTCGTCTAAACTGAAGATGGAGGCAGCAAACTCCTCCAAAATGTCATAACAGTCTATTAGATTACACAGTGTCACATCCCGGGAGACAGTGATCTTCATGGGTTCAACTAATTCAGAATATAAACCAATACCTCGTAAGATTGTTTTGTGAACAGTGACAAATATACAGGTTCCAAAAAACTAAAGAATTACCAGCATGACTGTCATTTACAGAAAGAAGACATTATATAATGGCTGTTGGTTGGTTTAAAAAATAAACAACTTAGCCATGTGGGCTCAAAACACTTGTGTTAATAGGACACCTATGTGGCCTGCAACATCATGAATTAAAAGTACTGACAGATGTGAGTTTTGCTTGGAAACTTTTCAGCCCTGATTCTGTGCCTTTCATTTCATCCAGAACTCTTCGTTGTAAATTAAGGAATAGCGAAATTCATGGTTAATCACAGGATAAAATTCTCAATGTATCAAACTTCATGAGAAAGAAGGTTGTGAAATTTACTTATAGAGACAAATCTAAAGATGGTTTTATTGATGTCCAGAAGTGTAATGGAAGGACTGTGGTGGCACGTAATGTTTTGACAAGGATCCAAAATAGGAACAATCTCTAAGAGAGGATGTTCATTCACAATAGCAAAAGTAGTATAAGCATAGAGAACTGTATTGGATGATTAGGTATGGGCATAATAAGAACATTCCCCCTGATGGTGTCTCTACTTTGATGTAGTGGAGGGGCTTGCGTGGTAAAATGACCCTGACAGCTATGTCGGTGGTAGCATAGCTACTGGTAGGGCCACCCATGCCGCACAGGTCGAAGGGGATGACCCAGACTAAAACAGATACCCTGGTCCTCCAGGTTGGGGGTTGGGCGAGAGACTGACGACCTCACTTACTTACTTACTTACTCACTCATGGAGCTGAGCCCTTCTGGAGGAGCCGCCAATTCTACAGCTACTCAAGAACTGCCCAGCATTTTATGGAACCCGAAGGTTCATTACCATGTTCACAAGAGCCTTCCACTGGTCCTTATCCTGAGCCACATCTATCCAATCCATACCATCCCATCCTGTGTCTCTAAGATCCATTCTAATATTGTCCACCAACCTACGCATTGGTCTTCCCAGTGGTCTCTTTCCTTCTGGCTTTCCCACCAATAACCTATATAAATTCCGCTTCTCCCCATTCGTGCTACATGACCTGCCCACCTCATCCTCCTTGACTTGATCATTCTAATTATACTTGGAGAAGAGTACAAGTTATGAAGCTCCTCATTATGCAGTTTTCTCCAACCTCCTGTCACTTCATCCTCCCTTAATGTAAGAGACAAAGTTTCACACACATACAGAACCACAGGCAAAATTATAGTTTTGTATATTCTAATTTTTATGTTTTTGGACAACAGATGAGAAGAAATAAGGTTCTGGACTGAATGATAGCAACTTAGTTTTCTCTGTGTTTACTTCTAGACCAACCTCTTTACTTGCATCAATTAAAGTTTGTGTGTTTTTCTTTATGGTATCTACATTATCACCCAGTAGATTCACATCATCGCCTGATGTGTCCCGTTTAATTTCAGTCCCACCTGGTTTCACTGGACCTTCCTAATTGCATATTCTAAGGCAAAGTTGAAAAGGAGTGGCGATAAAGCATCTCCTTGTTTTTCTTCAATCACATTCATTATACAATTATATTTATTGTACATAATCTGCAGTGAGTGCAGTAAATGTGTATGGGCTCAATGAACAGACGCGTCAGTGAGTTATGCTCAGGGGCGTAACTCTTCTACTCTTGTATTCTTAACTTATTTATCATTTTCAGGTTCTTGTTAGTTCCTCTAAGAACCAGGATAGCGCAGATGAATATAGTGACTGGGTACGGGATGGACGACCTAGGTATCAGAGTTCTAGTCCCAACAGGGTAAAGAATTTTCACTTCTCCATGTCGTCCAGACCAGCTCTGGGCTCACCTATCCAATGGATACCAGGATCTTTCCTCCGGAGGAAAGCAGCCGG